TGGGGGGAGGTGGAAAAAAACCACCTCAGCATGACCAGAAACAAAACTACCCCTTGTGGCATGGACTGAAATGTTTTACTAAGGTTAAGCCCTTCGAAAATGAGCATCAGTGACTATATTCATGGTAAGGGAAGAAAATAACTTTAATAACGCCATGATTTAAAAAAGCAAAAATTGTTATTGCTTTTAAAATTCCACAAGTGGCAGACAATAACAGCATAGCAACAGGATTCTGATTACATTGTAATAATGTGGGTCTCACAGCAAGTCCACAGCTATTACGGAGCGATTAGGCATCAGCACCTGGAGAAACTCCATTTACACTGACTGCCTCAATCTCTTCCACAAGTCATTTACAAGTATATGATCCTAATTTCTATTAAAAAAAACCACACACAACATGCTGGGACTGGAAGATTATTTGAACAATTTGGATCAACCTATTTGATAGTTTAATGTGTTTTTTTATATCTTTTCTTTCTTTCCTTTTTTTTATTCCTTCCATAAAACGCCTGGAGCATGATCATGCAAATGAAAAACAAAACTAGTTTTGATTTTTTTTTTTTTTTTTTTAAAGAGACAGGAAAACGCTGAACTGAACTGGGTAAGCTTAAAGGGCTTTTATAAATTTCCAGTTCCAGTGAATTGGTTAGTCCTATGGGTTACTGAACCCATTAATTTAGTATCGCTCAATCAACTTCTAATGGACCTATGCTGCTAAAACCTCAAACAAGCACAATTCCAATTATTCATCCTACATGAAACTCCTCACAAATTTCTGCAGACCTCTGTGCCATCTTCCCAACTTAAATGACAGGTTAGACATCGCTCTTATGACCCGTCTCAGAACCATTTCAGATGCAACAGAGTTGCAGCACATGATGGCATATCCACATGGCAATACGGTTTACTGGCTTTCCAGGCCAATCCAAAAGGAAACCAGAACTCTCTCTAGAGGTGAGGGCAGAAGCAGACATGCCAACACTGACTAATGTTTTCCTTAGTGGTGACTGCAAGACTAGAATTTGGTTCCTAGCTAAACATCAGTGTGAACTCCTTACTTTATGAAAAGGAAACTAATCTACTGATCATTTCTTCACTACACCACAGAAACAAAACTCACGGACCCTTAGATGCTATTTTGACGTCATCTCATATGCTTCCATTATGCTAACAACAACTAAGATAATGGCAGTTTCTTGACCACGTTCTTGCTGACATTGGGAAAGGAGCGGTACCTTTTTTCTTCAGATCTGAAAGAAGTATCAAAGCTTCACCTGATTCATTTAAAACTATAAAGTTCATGTACCCAACATTAATTAAAGGGTGAGAAACCCTAGCTGACAGATCAGGATGCACATTTGCAATGCACAGGAAAACAATGGACTCTCTTTGCCTCCTCATGGAAGAGCAGTTACATCTAGTTAGAGAAATAAAGTTTCAAAACAAGGTAAATTAAGGATTGAACTGCGCCATTCACTTATTTTAGAAGATAGTTCGGAAACGCACAGGAAATGGAAAGCAGAGCCCTACAGGATCGTGTAATATTGGGGAAGTAGGTTCGTTCTAGACTATTCACCTTGCTTTGTGTGAACTCCCTGAACATGGCTGCCAGCCCATCGTCATCAATATCGCTGTCGGTCTTAATGGCAACATTCAAGATGTGAATGGGCTCCTCTCTGGCAACCTGCAATTTAAGAAAAATAAGCCCAATAAATAATTAAAGAGTAGCAACGTTGTGTATATATAATCTCTTCAGGCTCAGGAACTTCTTCCAGTCTATACACCAGCACTACAATGCAACCAATTCTGGTGAAGAGGTCCCATGATTAGACCACCCGAAAGAAATACCAACCACCTACAACATAAAAACCAGAACTACGTAAACACAAGTACAGAAAGGGCCTACTCTTGCTCCAATACAGCTAATGGCAAAACTTCCACAGAAGCTAGTGGGACAGGTCCAGCTTGGGGTTTACAAATTTTAACATGAAAGCAGTCCAGAGGGAAGGAAATCCAATACCTTATCTTCATCATACAAAGAAGTGCGGCTGGCTTCACGGAAGGTCGGGCTTTGGGGAGGAGAGTCACAGAAGCAACCCATCACTTCATCGAAGATTCTGAAACCCAAAGGAAAACTAGCTGTAAATGAACCGCGCATAGGCTAGCAACAGTACGAGCTATCAAGCAGAGACCACCTTCACATCAGGGGAAGATGGTGGTAATTCCCTCCACACTGAAAAGAAATACTATCAAAGACAAAAGCTAGAAAATCAGGACAAAGCCTCAGTGTTTAAACTTCTGTGCAAGGAAGTAAAAGAGTATCCAGTATGCATTTTTAATATATTAGTTTCTAGTGTCCATATATATTATCATTCTTGAGGTAGCAGTGAAAGGCTTAGGACATGAGCCCTGATATTCCAATGTAATCGCCCCTCTCTTCGATGGGTAATGCATCAGGATACATAAAGAGGCAGACAACGGATGCATTTAAACAAAAGATGCACCATCTCTGGTGTGATTTACTCTAGCGTTATGTTAAATTTCACCTGACATTTCACTCATCACATTGTGAACGGCTTCTCCTGTTCTTGCCTCAAACAGACTTTGGCTTTTTTCTTTGTCTTTCCTCTCCTCTGACACATCTCATAATGCATGGAGGCATCATGAAAAACTAGACAAAATGACAGCATAACCATCCCTATAAGCAGAGACTCTTCCACAAAACCCACCATAACCCCTGAGACAGGACGGAGAGCTGCAGGCCCCCACCCCGGATCATTGCAGGCTCTGCAATCTTTTGCATAAGCCCAGAAAATCAAAAGCTGCAGATATTCCCATCCACGTACACAGCTGTTGAGCGGTAAGGTCCACTGAAAAGTTAAGATACTTAGGACCTTTGAAATGTTAAAGAAAAGATGCAGTTTATATGGTTGCCTATAAGCTGTGTGTGGCATCCTAGAACTTTGTCTTTGCAAGCCATGCTAGAACCTCTATGAAGCTTCAGGTTTGGTTTTAAAACCAGGCAAGGATTTTGTCTGGCTGTATCTGATCACCCATGGTACATTACCCTACGCATGCATGCATGCGCAGTAACCCCACTCGTCCCAAACCTACTGACCTGACAAAATCGTCAAACGTCCGGAAGGAGACCATCCCGCCCATCCGCTGGCAGGGCGGGGTGAATGAGCTGTCCAGCAGCACGTCACTCACGCTGGCCACATGGACCATCCCGTAGTGGTTGAGGTTGGAAGAGAAGGACATTCTAAATGGCAAGTCAAATGAGATCACTATTAGTGGGAGGGATGTCAAGAGTCCGGTTTTTGATTTAATGGTTTGAAAATGAAGCAAGTTATAACAGCTCAAACTTTAATTTAATGTGGCCTGATTAACTGTTTCACCACTGCTGTGATACACCTACTGGGCTACCTTCTTAAGTCTTCTACATCACTGAAACGTTGAAATGAATCTGGTAATCCTTACCTGGACATTCCTGGAATGCTCAGCAAGAGCCAAGGAGTTAAAAAATAGCATTATTCCCCTTTAAAAAAAAGTATTTCTTAAGAGGGAAAAGTCCTGAGATTAGAAGTGAATTATGACTCTGAAATGCTGACGGCATTTTTTCCCTGCACCTATGCTATGCATAATAGATGGAATATTCAGGTAGATAAGAGTAATTCTAGATTTTGGCACTTGAAAGGTTTAGTAAATCTTTACAAAACATGTTCAAAATATATTGAATTATACTTATTCTACCTTAAAAAAAAAGCCTTACAATTTTACACTTGCTGTCCTCTCTTAGCTTCAGCAAGACTCTTTTCTTCCATCCTTCAAAGCATTTTGTGATTTACAAACACGTCCATCCTGCATCTTACTTGATTGCTAGCTCCCTTATAAGATATAATGGAGCCAAAAACTTGTTATAATGCTGCCATGGGACACAGACTTCTGTACCTGATCATATCTGGTTTCATATGTTCAAAATAAGAGCAGTACCTCATTGCAGTGCCTTCCACTTAATTCAGTCACCAACTGATTCAATTTTCCATTTAAATTTGATGAAAACCTTGAGAAAACTACAACTTCCTCCCTTGCAGTTTGGGGAACTGCTAAGTAATCCAGAACTCTGGCTACAGAAGGAAAGGGGACAGTGAACCAGAAGGAAAACCCCAAAATGAAAAAAGAGATTGTCAGATACAGCTGCTAATGATTATCGTTATCACCAAGTGCTTGATATGCAAGTAGTGAAACAAACCTTTGAGTAGTGATATTGCCTACAAGGATGGACCAATTTCTTATTTTCATGAAACCCAGGGCAGACGTGGATGAAATAAGAGGAAGGCACTACAAAAGAGGCTTTTGCATCCTGAAGGAGGACTGTGCGTCTTAATTGAAACATCAACACTTCCATTTTCTAAGGGCTTGATCCTGCACATATTTGACACAGTGTCAGACTTCCCAAATAGCCCGATGGATGTGGGATTGGGCCAGGTGTTCCTCTCACCGTAGGAGCAATAATAACTTAAATAAAACATTTAATCTTTTGTCAGTACTTGCCAGTTTGAAATGAAGGCTGGTAGACAAAACCCCTGGTGCTATGAATACAGAGCATTCTCTAACTAGCTGGCCATCCTCTACAATCAACTTGTGGGCATGTTTTCATGTGAACTGTTGATCCTTCCAAAACAATCTGCTACCAAATAATCTTAAATCACAGAGGGACTGAGATTGCAAAGACCCCCTGACCTCTGCAAATGGCATCATAAAAGGTGGTTATGCATCAGCTCCGAAGACACACACTAACAAGTCATATCTCTGACCGGGGAAGGGTTGACTAGGACCGTTCCATGTGCCCAAGTATTTAGAAAGGTATTTGCTGAATTAAGCCTCTGCCTCCACACTTGTGCCACAGCAGAGGGCATCTGGCAATGAGCTGAAGTGGGGTCTAAATTTAGCAGTGTACGTAGGCACAGGCTTACTTTACAACATGCGAGTTGTCCCAGTAAAGCCAAGCACGTGCTTTGCTGGATCAGGGCCCCCCATCAGCTGCACAGCAGGAAGAAGTCAAGTGCCCAATATTACAACGGGCAGAACTCCTATGGACCACATGGGATCAGGACCAATATATTCAAAGGTGTATTTACCCACTGTGCCTCATATTCAGTTTTAGGATTATTATTTTTTTTAAATGCAGAAAACCTAATAAAGACATCATGGCAGGAACTGTCCTGAGCGCAACGAGAAAAAGTATAAAGTATCAGCAATCTTAATAGCTTGCTCCATATTCGAAGCCACTCTGGGATTTTGCAGCTAATCTCTGATCAGGAATCATAAGGCTTTCAAACCTGCTTATGCTATTTTTCCCTTGACATGTTTGTAAGCAGCAATAAATGGGAGGCATTTAGCTTTGAAACAGCAAAGTCTTTCCATTCATGCATCTTCATGTGTATTCCCTACCACCAGGACCATGACAGGTGCCTGCAGACATGGTTCGTACATTATTCAAAACCACAGACATTTGGGGATTGAGGAATGGGGGAAACATAGGGGGTGGCAGGGATGGTAAGTACTGAAAACGCAACAAAACATGCTGTCAGCTGTTGCAGATGAACGTTCATCTAGGGAAGGGGTGCAAAAGAACCCTCATCACCAAATACTGAGCTGTTTGCAGAGACCAGCACCAAATACTCCTGATGTTACACCTCGTGCCCTTGGTTCTCCTAGAATTAGATGCCTATTTCACTGTGACACACCCAAGTGGAGAGTCAGCAGCTAACAGTCAAGATCCAAGGAAATGAGTGGGGGAAATGCATTTTCTGCTACAAAGTTCATGGCACAGCAGGTAAACTGAGCGCTTGGCAAATTTAGCTTTAAAGCCTGCTGCATGCAAAGTTGCCTTTACCAAGGCAAAGGCAAGCTGAAAACATGTTTTTAAAAAAATGCGAGGTGGGGTGGGTCAGGAGAGGAAGCAGAGTTACAGTTCAGGGTGTCCAAAGTAAGGACAAGATTTCCAAACACAAGACAGGTTAAAATGTTAAGCATTATGCTATTTCCAGCTAGTCTAGCTTTCTTTTTAAACTTTAAAAGAGCACAAGTACCGTACCTGTTGAGCGTGGGGATGTTCCCTCTGTAATCAAACAACCACAGTTAGTTACAGATTGGTTAGTGAAAGCCATAATCAACGAACTGATATTTGAGCCAGTATGGAGCCCAGCAACAAGTGTACATTCAATGAACCCAAAATGGTCGCACAATCAAGAAAGCACCAGTGGGATTCCTCCTCAAAGAAGGCATTCATCACTTGGCCCAGCCAGCAGGGGCTGCTGAGCAAATGAACACCTCGTGATGTACTTCCCCACTTCTAGATGCACACAACAACACGCCACCAGCAAGCCGCGTGTTTATGATGTTCCCCGTGTTTCTAGCACGTTGCGTCAGACCACCTCCAAGCACTGTGCAGACGCTGCAAGCCTGAAGCAAGACGCGCAAACCACACCACGTGGCGGCAACAGACACCCCCGTTTGACAGAAGAGCGAACGGAAGCACAAAGACATTCAACGACCGGGTCACACGGCTAGCCTGCAACAGGTCTAGGAAAGCACCCCAAGTCCTGATGGCCAAATTTCTACTTTAAGCAGTAGCCCCCATGCTAGTTCCTGAAAGAGTGCAGGAAGTGAAGGCAGCATGGGAAGTTGAGGGAGCAGAGATAACACAAACACACAATAGCACACTTGACATTTTCTGCACGCAGGCCTGAAGCACCCAAACCCAACGAGCACACCTGAACATCGGTATTCTGGAAACCTTCAGAGGTCCTGTTGGCAGGACATGCCAGCCCAGCTGACTGGTTTTTGTAGGCAAGGCGAGACTTCATGATGTGCAGAACAGTGGACAGTAAAGGGAGCCCATTCCCTTGCAGCAAGCTGAAGGGTATACCCCAGCCAGGTCCATGCAGCAAAGCATGGGGTGGTGCACGACTGCATGCAAGCTGCAGAAATAGCCAACACTCGGCATCCAAAATACTAAAGACACAGCTGAAAAAAGCACATAGACACAAAGGCTTCAAACC